AGCGCAGCTCCCTGGGTGCTGCGGGTTTCCCTCCAGCATCCACCCCCTCTCCACTGGGAGTGCAGGAAATAACTCATCCCCGCCCTCGCGGTAAACATCTTTCCCAAGAGCAAAACTGCCCATCCAGGACAAGCACCCGTCTGTAATTTCCCTCCACGTGAGTGCTGGGCCATGCCCTCCCATGCTCCACCCGGGCAATCCCAGCTTCGTTCCTGGGCCACGGACAGGTCCCGAGCCCAGCAGCATTGAAGGCCGTGCTCACTGGAGGGGGAACTGCTCCTGCAAGTGGCTGCTGAAGTGTGTGTGGGGGGTCACAGCCCCCCGGGCCCTCCTTTGACAGGACTCTTCCCACCTTACTGGAAGGCAGCTTGCCTGAAGCATCCCCTGCAGCCACACACAATACCCTGACATGGAAGGGGAAAAAATTCCCCTTGGCTGGGGACTAAAAATCTCACAGCTGCAGCTTCTTCACCCAGATGGGAGCCGGGCAGCACACCAGCCCTCAGAGCTGCCGAGCACTAGCCTTGCCCCGTTGAGGACTGGCCTGGCACCGGACACATACCGAGGCCTTATCCCACAGGGTGCCAATCCCACCAACGGGGCTGGGACTCCCAGCTGCAGGGGTTCTGCGGGTCCCTGCAGTGTCTGCCCCAGCCAGCCTGGCTCCACTGGCATCCCAGTGCATTGGTCCATGCGCCAGCACTCCCCACAGGTAGCTCACTTTCTGGCTGGAAGCATTTTACTGCTCACTCTGCCCTGTGCCACCCTTCTGCCCATGCACCAGCCCTGCCACACCCATCTGCGTGGAGGAAAGTCCCTCCGATGCTCTGCCCATGCTCTCACGTCAGCCCTTCAGCAGCACATGCCGTGTGTGCAGGTGCCCCGGAGACAAGCGGCACCGTGTGCCAGTGGGCTGCGGGAGGTTGGAGGGGGCAGCTGGGCACACAGATCCTGCCCGGGCAGCCCGCCGTCACCCCCGCCGTCCGCCGCTCGTGGGAGTGTTGGTGCGGGGGGCAGCCTGGGGCAGCGCCCTTGACACCTCACTCGTGTTTGCAGAAGCTCTTCAGCGGTGGGGGCAGGTCCAGGCCGTCGATGGCCAAGCGGTGGACAACGTGCTTCTGGATGACCAGCCGGCAGAGGGTCTGCAGGGAGGGAACTGGAAGAGAACAGAAAGAAGCACCTGAGCTGTCCGAGTCACCGGCAAGGCCAAGAGCAGCGGGGTGTGGAGAAGGGCCCCAAAGCTCCCTGGAGGCACCATGTTTTAGGGCACCGATGGGTGAGCTTGCTCTGTGGCAGGAGCAGGCATTGTCCTGCCCTGGGCTTGAGCCGGCTGTGCCAGAGAGCCAGTGCTAAGGTCCTCCGGCTGGGACAGGAGCCTGAGAGCCCCGGGCTGTGAAGATCTTCCTGTTACTGGGAGGAAGGTTACTGAGAGGACAGTTATGTGCCCAAGCTGTGCGTTACCGCAGCTGGTTTGTGTTTGTTTTCTCTGGGGGCTGTCGAGCAGCTCCCTGGGGTCTCACACACCCACGCTGTGCTTTCCTTTCATCCCGCTCCCTTGCTCTGCTTCCAGCGCCAGTACCAGGTTGCCAGGTGGGCACCTGCAGGCTGGGGCTGTACTGCTGGCAGAGACAGCTCCGGTGATGCCTTTGAGACACCATCTTCCGAGCTGTTCCCATGGCTGCTGGCACAGGCTCTGCCTGGTTCCTGCTCCTGTGACACGCGCCCCTGTGGGATTCCTTTTTCAGGAGCCCTTGGTGGCTCAGCAGCGTGGGTGCAATTAGCTGTGGCCAGTGCGCTCCTCAGATTTTAAACGAGAGTTGACTCAGGCATAGCCTGTGGGCCTTGGTTCATCCACTGCCTCCAAGACGCAAACCAGAGGAGAGCACCCCAGGGCATTGCGCTCGGCCGGAGCAGAGCCTCGGGTGGGACCTGGCCGTTTCACCTGTGCACAGCTGAGAGCCTCTCCAGCTGCAGAGCCGGTGCCTCCGGGAGCTCATGCCGGCACCAGGCGGAGGCAGAGCTCTGCCGAGCACAACCGCGCTGTGCCCAGCCGGCTCCCGACCTTGGGGCTGTTTTTGGATGGCTGGAGTGTTTATCTCCGGCTCGGTGGCACGGGGCTGCGTCGTGCCGAGTGCTGGATGATGAGCAGCAGATGCCCTTTGCCTCTCCTGCCCGCTGCCCCCCCGTGCCACACTGCGTGTCGCCAAGCAGCTCAGCTGCTCGCTTCCGGTTTTCACTTCACCAGCCGGACCCCAGCCAGGAACAGAACCACACAGACTGATTTTTAAACCCTACGGAAGCGTTGCAGAAACCGGAGCTACTGAAACCCTCATCAAAAGAAGGAAGCCAGATTGCGGCTCTGCAGCGGTGCCTGCACCAGCCGCAGCAGTCTGGGGACCCACGGCCCGTGGTGCAGCGGGAGAGGGCAGCTCTCCCAGAGGTACGTGCTGCCAGCGCGGGACCCTCGCGAGTGGCCAGGGATGGGCCCTCCGAGGCAGCTCAGTGGCCTCCTGCAGCATGCTCTGGCCGGTCACCCTCCGCTCACTCCTAGGGCAGGGGGGCCTGGGTGGCCGGGCAGATTTAATCTCCCTGTTTGGATAATCTGGCTCACAGCAGCTGGCAGGGAGAATCCTGGATTTCAGCCTTGAGACAGAAGTGGCTGAACTTTGCCCCAGCAAGAGAAGCAGTGGCTCCCAGCAGTCGGGGACAGCCAGCCCCTTGGCCATCAAGTCTGGGTTCATTTCTGTCTGCAGCCTTCACACAGGCTGCAGACAGCGAATTATCCTGCTGACGTAAAGCAAAGGTGGCACGGCAGCGTGACAGCTCACGGCCAGCCACCGTCACCCAGGTGCTAGCTCTCCTTCTGGCTCTCCTCTCCCTTCATCCTCAGCACCTGCTGACCTTTCCAGTGTGATGCTAATTAGCACTTATTAGTCTGACTCCTCACAAGTGCCAACAACCAGCACCGGCCTTCCCAGCCCCTCCCCAGCTGGCTGAGGTATGCCGGATATTGCCCAACCTCCGATGGCATCACGGGGTGCCTGCCCAGGGCACCCTGCAGCCGTGGCACGTGGCAGGCATGGGGGCACAGCATGTGTGCCAGAGCGGGCAGTGGTCCGCAGCTGGATGTTTTGATGCCAAGGCAGGACGTTGCTCAGCTCCGGGCCACTGTGTGCCCATGGGGTGAGGCTGGGCAGGGGAGGGCTCGCCAGCCCCCAAGAAGCAAGCTCCATGAGCACCAGTGTTGGGCTCTGGTCAGGGGCATCCATCTGGCTAGGGATGAGCATGGCACTGCGGGGGCTCAGCTCTGTGCTCCTGCAGCCCCTGGTTTGGGGCAGCCTAGAACACCCGTCCCCATCGCTCCACTTGGGAAAGGGCAACCAGGCGGGGCTCTGCCCCAACAGCCACTGCTGTGGGAGCTCCCCCCCAGCCCCGGCACAGCCCTGCACAGCAGAGCTTTCAGGAGACACCACCCATCAGCGACAGTGTGGGCTTTCACCCACGCTCTGCAGGGGCCCGGGACTCTCCTGAGCCCTCTACACATGCCCTCTGCCCTGTGGGATGCTCTGATGCTCCCACCATTGGGGATCGTGGGGTGACCCCACCAGAGCTCCCACCCCAGGGACACGCAGTAAGTGCCCTGTGGAGGGGGCCGATACCTACAGCCGTATTCCACGGGGATAACCCGGACGCTCTTGGTGGAGGCAAAGACATCGACCACGGCGTAGAGCGGGCGGGCGGCAGGCAGGTGCCTGGCGCTCGGCCCCATGTCCTCTCCGTTGATGATGATGTGCATGTCAGCAGTGCCGTCAGGCTGTGGGGAGTACAGCACGCCGATCCGGCTGCGCCGGGCGGTTGCGGGCAGCACGTTCATCTTGTACAGGTCATCCAGGATGTGGCTGTAGCGCCCAGGTCTGCTGCGCCCCACCAGTGTGTCACGGGGGATCCTCACCTGCTCGATCAG